ACACCACGCCACCCCGATTGATTTGCTAATGGGTTCTGGCAGCCTTTGTATTAGTCGGAGAAGCCATTCAGACCACCATTGACAATGTCAAACTTATAAATTGCTCTTGTTAAAATCTGCACATCAACGTTAAATAGGAAACACCTGGTGAACTGGGCCTGGCCGGCAGTACCATTTGGTGGTCTGAGCCTGGTGGGCAAGGGACTTGGCTTTTCTGTTACCCAAAGACACTCAAGTTTTCAGAAAAAGAATCAGATCACAGACAGGTCAAAGATAGGGTCATAGAAGGCTTTGAACTTGAGACCAGATATGACACACAGGGTTGTTTTCACTAATAAACATTCAGATTTTTCTTTCATTAACAGCTACCAGTCTCTAACCACACCCTCCTTTCTGCAGCTTCACCCGCGCCCAGCTGTGATTGTTGTACGAACTGGTACTTTCTACCTGGGTGGCTAAGATCTTAGGTTGAGAAGACAGAGAACCTTGGGTCTTGAGAGACCCTGAACAGTTACATCCTTGCCTCAAAGGATTGGCTTTCTTGTCTGTCCAGTGGTGGCCATGATGTCCTCTGAAGACCTCTGTTGGCCAACAGTTAGAGAGAGTGATTCTTTGCAGGATCCACTCTGGAATAAGCAAGCCAGCTCAGAACTGGAAATCTAACCGGTGCTAGAAATGAAGCACCTTGACTCTCAAAGATTCCTAGTGGTTTTGCCCTCCAAGCTTCTGCTAGTGTTTTTGATACGTGATTAAGGATGAAGATCGCTAACCTTGCTGGAGAGCCTTGTGAGTGCTGGCGATGTCTCTCACTATGTCTCCTGGCTGTGTTCCTCTCCTCTCTGCCTCACAAAGTTGGGGTTACTCCTAGTTCACTGGTGAGCAGTCAGGGCTCAGGAATTCAAGCAGCCTGGCTGAGGTTAACTTTTTCGGAGAAGCAAGCGAGCAACCAAACATTCCGCCGCCTTCTGTTACCTGTCTCTTCTTCCCTGTGCTTGATCATCAGGAATAAGGCAATTTCCAGTGACTTGTTAGGCTCTGGACTGACACCTGTTTCCCTGGAGCAGAAATGACACCTTTAAAGTAAAATTTTCTCAGCTCTCAACTCTGCAGGAAAAACCTATTTGGGGCCCCATTATGGCTGTATTCTAGAAACCGTCAACTCCGAGGCTTAAATATAGCATTTCTTCCCCTCTCAGCCGCCGGCAGCAGGAAAAACATTTTGAAGGGCAAATAAATATTTATGTATGAGGGCTCTGTGCACAGCAAATGTTTGATTCTGTTGCCCCAATTCCCTGGGCTAAGAGTCAGTGACAGAGCCCCCCAAGAGTGTGGGCGTGAATACGTTCAGCACCTATATTCATTCAGCAAGGCTGCGTTGAGCATCTACTACATACACGCCAAGCTCTGGGCTGTGGATGGTGTTTGGAGGTTCGGGGGTTCTTCTTTGAGCCTCCAGAACCACGAAAGCCTCTGCACTAATTATCTCACTTGAATTGCTAGGATGCTGGGAAAGGCTTATCGCTCGCTTCATTTTAAAGATGAGAGCCAGCTGAGCTCCGACTCTGACTGCTGTGTGCGTGTGTATAGAAAGAAAAGATTCTCATCTCCCCCACCCCTTTTCCCCACCAAACTGTGGTCTCCTGCAGAACTAACTGGATAATGACAGTCGCTAAGATGCTGTGAGGCCTCTCCGAGGGGACATGCCCTGGGCTGTTTCTTTGAGCCATCACAAAACTGCCTCTGTGACAAGGGTGTGACAAACTCAGAAATACCTGCTGAGTGGATGGCAGAAAGTTGAGCCAAGCTGCCCAGAGTCGGGACAGCGGGAGCAGGGGCCTCCATTCTCCTTCCACTGCCCAGGAGTCTCTCAATTCACCAGCTCTGAGCAGACTCCTCTAAATCCTCCACTTTCGGACTTCTGCGTTGTCTCTTCAAGGCCCACCTTGACAGGAATGCCGCCAAGTCGGGTTGCCCCAATCCCCTCCCCCACCTCAACACTGCTGGCCTTTGATAGCTTCTCCTCCATCGTCCTGAGAGAAGATGGCAGCTGACCACCCTGGCCCTGACTTCAGCAAAAATTCCCATTAAGTCAGTTTAGCTCAAACCTCCCCTTACCACTGATGTTTCTTTTTGCCTTAATAAAGGGATTATTTATTCTTTGTCCACCTGCTCCTTAGTTGTGAGTTTGTAGCCACTTTCTGTCTGTCTCCCCTGCAAAGCTCAGTTGCAGTGGTCCTACAGCTGCGGCCATGGTCCAAAATAAGTCCTGCCCTACGGTGTTTTGGCAACATTGTTACCAAGACCCCTGCCGCAGAGTCTGGCTCGAGGTCCAAACATTCACTCACATTCAAAGAAAGCAGTAGAGATATGTAAAGACATGGAAAAAGATAAATGAACTCGGGCTTGGGCAAAAGCTGGAGAGAAAGAAATGTCAAGTCAGTTTCCTCCTGCTCGTACGCATGTGTCCATTTAGTCAGGTGGCCGACCCCCACCTCCCATTACCTGACATGAGAAGCAAATCTCAGGCCATGGGCCAAGGCTCTTGGGGTGGCTGTTTTCACTCCCAGTGAGGTATTTCCATGGAATCTTCTCCCCACCCTTTACATGACCATGAATAATTTTTGTCTTAACACCTGAGTCTCAGGAGAAGGCTCATTGCTCTCCCTCACCTTCCCACTCTCTTTCCGTCTGTCTGTCTTTCCTCTTCGGAGTCCCCCCCTTACCCACCTCCCCTAACTCTGTTTCCATCCTTTCTCATACCCTGTTGGGATTTCCTCCTTCTCCTCCACAACTGCAGTCGCGTAGCCTCTGTGACAGCGAGGAAAAGGTTGGGAGGGGATTTCTGGGGGTTGAGGGAGCTGGGTGCAGAATGCTGCAACTTCGGGAAGTAATACCAGATGTGCCGATGGTGCCAACAATCAGCCTGAAATGTAAGCGCCAGTGGAGCCCCGGTCATAAAGCACTTACAGCTGGAGCATTGGGAATGCCAGGAGGAGGGGGAGGAGGCCCGACTTCTTCACTGGAGGGATCACAGTCCGGTCTTTGGGTGTATTTATGCCTCCAACATCCTTTTCTGCTTTTCCAGAGAGGTGATCCATCTTCCCCCAAGTTTATTAGAGGCGGTTTTCCAACACCACTTATAAAATATTGCAGGCGGCCCCATGATTCATGGCTTCATTTATAACCCACGGCACTTGGGAACTTTGGGGGAATATTTCTCATTAAAACTATTTCCCAACTCTTTTGCGCTGCCTCCTACTCCCCCCCCCACACACAAGAAATGCCAGAAGATTCGAGATTGGTTTTGAGCAGTGGGCCAAGGTAGGCCTTGTGGGCGTTGAGTCTGGTTCTGGGCAGAGAGGAGTCTAGGTGGTCTTCCCACTACGTGTGTCCTTGGCTGTGTGGCGCATTCTCCCCTCCACAGCCCTGTGCAGCAGAGACTTCTAACTGTGGTTCTTGTCCTGCTAAAAGTTCTGCCTCCTTCTGCAGAGACCTCACTGCATAGGTAGGACAGTCTTGTAGGCATGGCAACAGGTGGGGCTGAACCTGGGTCAGCAGAATGCCTCTTCTAAAGGAGGCCTCTTCCTGTCAGGATGCCAGGAACTTCCTTCTCAGTCTTCCCTTCAGAATGGTACAGCTCCTTGTAGCCCGAAGCCATGTTCTCCTTACTAATAAACACTGCTAGCAGCTAGGAATCCATTGTTCCTTTAGCTAAGGTCTAAGTCCCTGCCTCAAATTTCCAGACCAAGCGTCACTGAGGTTTTCACAAGAACTCATGCCTTGGATCATGATAAAGAAAACAGTGATTCTATTCTCTTGCAGAACACTGACAGTAAAGATATCCCAGGTCCTTTCCCACACCACTGGCTGACCTTACCTAATTCTCTGCCCTGGGGCCTATGTTTCTCTTTGTGACTATTATCTCCTCAGAGAAAGGGACAGAATCTGCCCCTTAGGACATTTTCCCTTTTGTCAACTCTAGGTGAGTTGCACTCCCAAGCCCCGTGGTAACAGTATAACTCACTGAACTTAGAAAAAATAAGCAGCTAGGCTGGGTGTTTGTTTTTACATTTATAGATTTGATTGTGAAAGGTAATGTTCAACTCATATGGAATCCAAACTCTGTGTTCTGAACAGGGAGTGGCAGATGAATCATTTATTGCTATCTGTCAATGAATGCCCAGTTGAGCCCGAGTTGGGAAACTCAGACCTGCCCCTCACCTTTCTGCCCCTTCCTGCCTGGGGCATTTGGAGACGACAGTTATTATAAAATGGTTCTATCCTTTGTTTTTATGTTTCATAGCAGAGGTCAACAAACGATGGCCCTAGAAACAAGCCCCTGGGTCCGATCCATCCAATTACCTGTCGTTTGAAGCCAGGGGTTAGTAGAATATAGCCAGGCTCACTCATGAACCTGCTCCCTTAGCAGAACGGAGGCCTGGCAACAGAGGCTGTGCAGCCCATGAACTAAAACTGTGACCACCTTGAGAAAACATCTTCCTCCCTCTGTTTGGCTTACTGCCCTGGGGATGATGTGACAAAATAGCGTAGACTTGGTAACTTCGAAGGAGAGACATGTATTTCTCACAGCTCAGAAATCTGGGAGGTCCAAGATCAAGGCTCCCGATGACCCCATGTGTAGTGAAGGCCTGCCTGACCCCTGTTTTGTGGCCAACATCTTCTAAGCTGTCTTCTCACACAGTAAAAGGAACAGTGAAACGCTCCAGAGTCCTTGCTGTAAGGGCATCTATCTCCATCAGAAGGGGTCCATCACCCTGACAAAGGCTTCATTTCCAAATCCACGCACATCAGTGATTAGGTGTCAGCCTATGGATTTGGCGGGAGACATACATGTCCACAGCTCAACAGAAGCCACCCACGCTATATTTCCATGAGTAATTTGAGGGTAGTATTTGAGTTTGCCTTATTCTCTGGCCCCTTAGCAAAACCTAGAGATGGTTCATCCCTCTCTCTGGCACATTTGATTGTGTTGTGCTTACCAATTGGAGTCCATTTTGTGTCTAACATGTATGCAGCATGCCACAAGCCTCTGGAGGGACGGGAGTGTGCTGTTTCTCTGGATGATGGACTGGCTGTGATGAGTGAGACCGTCTCCTTGATGTGCTGCTGGGACCAGAGTGCGTGGGGCATCAGTGTGGGGCCCAGTATGGATATGGAACTTCGTGGATGCCCTTGTTCCTTTCGATTTCTTACGGAGCACTTCAGACCGTGTGACTTCCTGACCTTTCTGGGGACGCATTATTGAGAGGAAAACCTTCTCTTACCCAAACACAACCAGGTTGCTCAGGATTTGCAAGCAGAACCTGGGAGCATTTCAAGTGAAAGAAATCCCATGGTTCAAAATGTCCAGAGTAGGGGCTGGAGAAATGGCTCAGTGGTTAAGAGCATTGCTTGCTCTTCCAAAGGTTCTGAGTTCAATTCCCAGCAACCACATGGTGGCTCACAACCATCTGTAATGAGGTCTGGTGCCCTCTCTGGCCTGCAGGCATACAAGTAGGCAGATATTATATGCATAATAAATGAATATTTTTAAAAAAATGTCCAGAGTACCTGATACTGACCCTAAGCTTTCCCCAAAAATGCTTCTTGAGAAGCGAGAAGCTTGGGCTGGAGAGATGGCTCAGCAGGTAAGAGCACTGACTGCTCTTCCAGAGGACCCTGGTTCAATTCCCAGCAACCACATGGCAGCTCACAACCGTCTGTAACTCCAATTCCAGGAGATCTGATACCCTCATACAGACCTACAGGCAAAACGCCAACACCCACAAAAATAATCATAAAGTTTTAAAAGAAAGAAAATACAGAAGCCCTAGTGCTGTTGCCATGTGACCCCGATTTGGAGTGAAGGGTGTCTGTACTTTTGAATAAACTGCAGGAACCTTGAAGGACTGGCAGCTAGCGTGGTCTGTCTCTTCCCTTTGCAGTCCAGAAAGATAAATCCAAATTGATTCAGCGGGTGAAACCCGGCAGAACCAAACGCCAGGCCTTCCCCCTCAATCCCTGCAGTGGACCTTAAGTTTATTCAGCAGGGCCAGGCGCGTTCACAGGTACCTTTGAGACTACACCAGGAGAAAGAATGATCGCCCACGGGCCACTTAAGTAAGATCCCTAGCCTTCTCTATTCTGGACAAACAGTCTTTTTAAGGTACAGTGTATGGATTAGGCTCAGTTAGGTGAGCCTGCAGGAGTAAAGTCTCCCGGTGGAGAAATAAAATGTCAGTTCTCAGCCTTGCTGGCTCTTGCTGCGAAGTCCTTCAGATTCTTTGCCCCAGATTTTCTTTTGCTTGAAAATATCCACAGAGGAAAGAACACCCCTCCACACATACACACCTGTTTCAGAAGGACCCACAAAGCGTGTCCAGAGCCATGATCTTGTCTTGGGTACTCAGAGGACAGTGTCCCCTGCCGCCTTACATCTATGCAGCTCCCACGGGATCCGGCTCTGCACTCAGCCTGCGCCTGGATCCCACCTGCTTATGCCCAGTGAAGCAACTCCTCCTCTAACTTTTCTTTGCATCCAGAGACGCACAGCTCACCTCAGGGGCTCCAATGCCCACCTTCACCATAGCTACAACTCAGTGATTGGCATCCACATTGTATCCGACTCTATGTCAGGGACCTGGGCCCAGCAATGTGACTTGCAGATGAGAAACACATCCAGTGGAGGATGGCTTGTGGTCATGTGGTCACTTTGCCCCTTGCCTCCTTTACCAAATTGATGGACAGCAGCTCTCAGGGCCGTCTCCCTCTGACCTCTCTCCCAGGAAAGACGTGGTCACTTCTCAGTTTCCTTTCCTATTGCTCAGCCCTCCAGGTTGCCATCCAGTCCCAAGCCCTAGCGAGAATCCCCCAAAAAACTAGCTTTATTTGAAACTCAGAACCCTGGAGCTAACTTCAGGACAGAGGTGACTCTTCGCACCAGGCAAAAATCATTAAGGCCCCAGTCAAATTTTCCTTCCATGCCTCCTCTTTGGTCCAGTCTTCTGCTTCTGCAGCATCTCCAGGCTGCCACCTCCTGGCCAGAGACAGGAATGAGCAGGGGCCTTTGGGAGTGGACTGCGGACACAGGGCTGTCAGCTGCAGCTCCAAAAGGACCCAGGGAGCACCCAGGACCGCAGTTGACTGAGAGGACCCTGCACACCATGGCTCTGATGGGCAGCATTTGCCCCGAGTCTCCCCACCCAGAAGTGGCACCAACAGAGGCAAGGTTCTGTTTCCCCTCTTGTTGCGTTTCCCTTTCAACCTTTCCCTTTTTATTGTCCCTGGTTGGTGTTTAGATGTTCAAACAGTTGCATGTTTTGTGTGTACGTGCTTGAGGGCATAATTACCCTTGCTCTTCGCTTCTGTTCTGTGTCTTTACTCGCCATAATGTAGGTCAAAGCAAATGGAAGAGTAGGAAGCATGTAAGTTTGGAAATATTAGGACACGGATATGAAGAAAACTCCCCCACCCATGTGCTTTTAGCCATTTGCTTAAAAAAAAATTATTTCTCTTTCAAGCAAGGAGGACACTCATTTTTAGTCCCAGCAACTTTTTCTCCACCTGATAAAAAGGCTCCGTGAATGAAGGTGTTGTGGGATCGGGGGAGCTGCTGGGGTGCAGTGTGGAGATGCTCACCCCAAGTCTTCAACTAGCCAAGCGGAAGGGTGGAGGTGAGAGTTGGGCTATGGAGAAGGCAGGTGGCCAGTGTAGAAAGATCTCAGCCAGTCATCAGTGGGTCATTGGCTCACAGGTCCCCAGATGCCTGCACCCTAATGATTCAAGGTTCATGCGCTTATAAATCAGCCCCTGGATCTGTGGCCTGTCACATTAGGCCTGCAGTCCCTGCCATCACCCAGCCTTTCCCCTGGATGTCACTGTTGTGCTGTGTGAGCAATGCCTGGGAACACTTCTGGGACCATGTAAAGCCCTCCCTAGGAGCTGCCACCCCTTGGGGCTAGAGAAGGCACCCAGGGAAGGGGAGGAGAAGCCTAGTCTGCAGGAATTTGGGGAGGTGGTCAGGACTCAAAGGCCCAGCCCAGTAGACTTGCCAGGGTTCCAGTCTGAAGGTGACACCAAGACTGTCTGATCCTGGGGCACGCTGGTCTCTAGTACAAAGAGGCTATGGCCTAGAGAACTGGGATGGGTTGACCCCTCCTTTGTGGCTCATACACCCTCTTGGACAAAGGGTTCCAAACTGGCAGCAGGAGGAAGCCGCAGGCCAACACGCACAGTGTTCTGAACAAGGAGCCAGATCCCAACCCTATCCTCGCTATACACAAGCAAAGGGAACACAGGGAGATTGTCTCACTACCCTAAAAATGTAGTGAGAACACTGCCTGAAAAGCTTACCACGTAGGACGCCACACCGTAATAACAAGGTCTCCCAAAGCAGACAGCCTTCCGAGTTTAGAGCCAGAGAGAGAGCTCTGCTCCCTAAGCCAGTCGTAAAAACAAACACCAGTCTGGAGATGTGAGTGAAACGGCAGAGATGGGGCTCAGACCCCGGGCAAGTCCTCTTCCTTTTCTTCCTAGCTTTGGGTTTCCATGAGACGTCGACTGCCTCCTCATGGTGTCATAGGTGTGTGCTTGGGTCCATGTGCAGGGAGGAAGGACCCAAGCTTAGCCTGAAAGCAGCGAGGGGACCCCTTTTTATGCTATCTCAGTGTTGATGGGTATGGAATAGCCAAGACAAACTTTGAACATATTAAAAGAAAAGCACGTGCTTAGGACTCCAGGTAGGCTCCTAGCACAAGGTAAGTCACACCTGAGTGAGGCCAGACCAGTGTGTCTGTGTCTCTCCAGCCTTGATAATGGATACCAGTCCAGAAACCTTCGGTCTCCCTTTGATTTTGTTCCCTGGGTAACATTTTTTGTGCCGTTAATTATTAAAGCAGTTCTCTGGTGGGACTCAGTGTGCTGTGACTAGGTAGCATCAGCTAATTTTGCCAGGGTCTCATTCTCCTACAAGTTGCTGGCTTTACCGATGTTTTACTATCCTTGCGGAGATGGTCTGAGCTGGAGAAGAACAGCCAGGGCCTCTCCTTCCCTCCAGCTCTCACCGGGCAGGGGTCTGGATGGAGGTGCCAGAAAGTACCCTCTCAGTGCCCAAAGGGGTTCATTACAGGTTCATTACTCTCTATGTAAACTAGGGGTTCCTAAAAGAGGCCTACTTGATATTAAAAAATCATTACAAAATAGTTCAGTGGGTGGTGAGGCCAAATCTTCCACAGACGATTAAAGCACACACAGAAAAGTAGAGCCCCCCCCCCACTAACACACACACACCTGAGTTCTGTTGTGGATTTGAGCTTTCTGGGAACACCGTGAGCACCACAATTCCATCATTGGTGTGCCTGCCCCATACTTCTTGCAGAGTGTGTCTAGGATGTTGTAAGTTGCTGCAGGGAGCGGGGAAGACAGAGACAACTGTGGCATGCATGCTTCAGTCGGGGTGGGGAAAGGTAAATTGGAAAATGAGAAGGGAAGCAGCGCCTGAGCAGCTGCAAAATTGTTCAAAGCCATTTTCTCAACTGGGTTAATCATTCCTCCCCGCAGTGTGGGGACAACCACGCGTTCAGAAGTATGCGTTGCTTTATTGCAAGGAGCAGCCTATTAGGAGAGAAAGATTGTCTACCAGGAGTAGCCAACTCCCACTTCCTCCCATTCTCTGTCTCCTCTGGGCCTGCTAACACCCCTACCCCTCAAGATAGCTCCCCTAGCTCTCCTGCCTGGTGTCGGCTCTCCCATTGGGAAGGTTTGTCAGTGGTGGGAGGGGTGGGCAGATTCAAACCAGCCCAGCTTGAAGAGTAGGAATAATTACAAAATCTCAGGCCGTTATCCAATTACTTTGACATGTGGCCATTCTAGGGAGTTCTAACTGGATTAAGTTCATTATAAAAAGATTAGTCCTAGGATGGGGACTGTGCATAACGAAGTGAACCTTTGGAGTGTGCGCTGCTGGGCCACCAAAGACTTGGGGTGGGGGTGCACGGCACAGAGTGAATGGCTTTGTTTATTGAATTACCGCTTAGGGATTTGCTGAGGAGTTTTGCTCAGATGGAGTTTGTGGCTTAAAGCAATGCTCAGCCGTTTCCTGTTTGTTTTCCTTTCTCCACAACGTTCCTCAGTACCGTTGTAGTTATTGTCAAAGCAGTAATCCAAACTGCCCATCCCTAATGTTCTGTGTGTACATGGAGGTGAGATTATTTATCCAAATGAATCTGGGACACAGGAAGCTCATGTATTATTTATAGACAGTACATACAAATACGCACCCAGAGAGGACCAACACTCTTACAGGGCCTCCCATTTGCATAATGCTCCCTAGCTCTACAGCACCCTTCCACATAACATCATTTGACCCGCACAGCCGTGCTCTGGGATATAAGTCGGCATTATAGTAAAGACTGTGCCCATAATGAAATGGAGACTTAGAGGGGTTAATCCATGGTCATCCAGTCAGATAGTCAACCAAAACGGAGTAACTACTCAAATCTACCCTGCCCAGCCTGACATTCTAGAAGCACAGTTCTCAACCTGTGGGTCGAGACCTCCACAGGGGTCACGTATCAGATATCCTGCATCTCAGATATTTGCATTGCAACTCATAACAGTAGCAAAATTACAATTATGAAGTAGCAGCGGAATAATTTTTTCCACACTATGAGGGATGGTATTAAAGGGTCACGGCGTCAGGAAGGTTGAGAACCGCTGGTCTAGAAGTTCACCCAAACTCAGTGAGCACATGTATTTTAAACACAGAGCGAAAATTCATCTCTGGCTGTTGACAATTTGAATTAATCATACTGGCTGAAATCAGATTTTTTTTTTAATTTCCTTGAATTGCAGTAAGGATTTTTATCAGCTAGCAGTTTTGAGTAACCCGTTTACCTACTAAATATTGTCTTTTTCTTCTTGAGCTCGGAGCGATTTCTCCTGCAGGAAACTGTCACAGAACTCTTTGGGTTCCTTCACTAGGGTGTGTGCTGCTCTAAGAAAATGGGTCATTGTCACTCTCCAAAAATAAATGCCCAAGCTCCATTTGAGTATCCTGGGCGGGGGGGGGGGGGAATCAATATTAGGGTTGGTGGGAAGGTGTAAACTAATAATCAGTCTCCTGCTTACTTAATTTGCTCTCTGGGACCTTAAACTCCCTCTGGGGAACAACTGAGTTTAAACTCTGAGCGCATAAATCTCTGCTCTTAGGTGTGACCAGGATGGGCAATGCCCCTCTGCTTCCTCCTCCTAAGCCCACCGTAGTATTGCTGATAGAACATGGAATCTTTTTCTACATAAACTGTTCTTGGCTGTCCCTTCTCAAAACAGGACACTAAACGGCTTCTCACAGGGACCAGAAATTGCCTAGCTAATGGTGTCTCTTTACCAGCCATCATAATTCTAGACGCTGGTGACCCAGTGACTCAAGAAGCCTCAAGAGGCACAACCAGAGCAGCCAATTGGCCTATGTCTGATGCCACCCTGATGGCTAGCAATTCAAGATACATAGAAGAGGCCAAGAAGAATGTGGAATAATTGAGAAGCATTAGGCTTGGAGAGAGAATATATTTAGAGTTACGATTACGGTAAAGGTTAAGGCAGACGCCAGTTGGCCAGAAAAGGAAGGGGAAGGGGAAGGTTGTGTGTAAGCAGAAAAGGAGATGGCTGCAGCCCAGTGACCCCATCTAACCTGTCTTCTCTTAAATAAGAAACACAGACGCAATAATCTATGCCGTCTGTAACTCCCTAGCCCCCATCCAGTTTATAGACTATGTTTAAAAGCAAAATAGATTGTTGGAGATAGGATTCTCATTTGAAAAAGGTAAAGCCATTAACTCAAAAAAAAAAAAAAAGAAACAGAAAAAGAAAAAGCAACTTTTACTGAAACTAAAAGTCTTGAGTCTTCAGGCCAAGAGCTTAGTCTGATGGCTTAAAAATATCCCTGAGACTTTAAATGGTGGCTTCCTGTGTCTTTCACTTCCTCTTCAGTAGGTGTATTAGTTTCTTTGTGATTACGGTTACCAAATTCCTGTCAGAATGGCTTTAAAAGAAGAAAGGGTTAGGGACTTGGGATATAGCTCAAGTGGTAGAATGCGTGCCTAGCAACCATGATATCCTAGGCTCAATGCCTCATGTGTGTGTATGGTGGCAGGGGTATTTGGGGTCCTGGTTTTTGGAAGATTTAAGTCTCTTGGCGCTGGAAAGTCGTGGTGAGTGGCTTTATCTGTGGTGGGAGGAGCCTGTGACAGCAGGCTGGAGTCTGGCTGTGGTGACAGGAGCTTGCGGCCACAGCTGTTTTTACATGGTGGTAATGCAGGAATCAAAGAAGTCTAGACCATGGAGAGTAAAACCTTCGAATGCCTGGTACCTACTTCCGTTATCTGAACTTTATCCCGAAGGCTCCCAGGCCCAAGGTTAGAGACCTAGCATTCAGACTATGAGTCCTTGAAGAAACAGACCCATTTAAAATCATAGCAGAAAAAAAAAAAGGAGTATGGTCTCTTTTCATTATATGCCTGTAAAAGTTTTGGAATTTATTCTCACTGGGCCCTGCTTGATGATGTGCCCATATCTGAACCAATCATGGCTACTGGGTGATGGTTGATCCAGACTGGCCAAGTCTAGGTCATGTAATGTCACTTGAGTCTAGCTTGGCCTGGCTCCACCTATCCTGCTCCCTCACCCAAATGATACCAGGTTCGGTGGTCTGGAGGCTAGGTAGTAACTTTGGGATTTGTAACACGACGGCCGGCTTGATGGAATTTCTGTCCCGCCCGGTACCCCAACAAGCCAGCAAACCCCAAGGAAAATCACACACAGGACTTCATAAGGTTATAAACTGATTGGCTCCTTAGGTCAGGCTTCTTATTAGTCCTTGTAACTTATATTAATCCATTATCGTTATCTACGTTAGCACATGGCTCAGTACCTTTTTCAGCTGGGCAGGTTACATGCTGTCTCTTCAGTGGTCTGCGCAGGAGTGGTGAAAGAACTTCCTTCTTCCCAGAAGAAATACTCCTGTTCTCATCGCCCCACCTCTACTTCCTGTCTGGTTGACCCGCCTATACTTCCTACCTGGCCAATCAGCATTTATTTAAAATACATGATTGACAGAATACAGATAATTCTCCCACACCAGGGATTGACTGTTTGTTGGGCACCCTGCCCAATGCTAGATCCTAAAGGAAATGTTTAGATATTGGCCCAAAGTTTCATAGTTTTCAAACTCTTTTCATAATTACAATATTTGATCATGGCACATGCCACAAAGTCTTTATTTTTTCTAATACCTCAGTCCAGATGAGGAAGATTTCCCCATTGAAATAGACCAGACATTTGATCTTTGATTTATAACATTCCAAATTCTGCGTCTTTCCCCTGAGGCTTTCATCAGGATTGGATGTTAATATGGGGACCATAAGGTCTTAATTCTTGAAAGAAGCAAGCCATAGATAGCATTTTGGCTTTTTCACTTTGGAATGAGTCTCGAACTCCATTTTAAAGCCAAGGATAATGCCATTGTGATGTGGAATTCCCTTCTGTATGCTATGCATATGCTTTATTACCATTGGTTAACAAAGAAACTGCTTTGGCCTATAGCAGTGCAGAATATAGCCAGGCTGGAGGAAATAGAGAGGGAGTAGGCAGAGTCAGGAAGATGCCATGTAGCCGCTGCAGGAGACAGACCCCAGACAGAACCTTACCAGTAGGCACAACCACATGGTGATACACAGATTAATAGAAATGGGTTAATATAAGATATAAGAGCTAGCCAGCACCGTTGGCCAATTAGACTTGATCAGCAAACTGAGAGGAGATGCAAGTGGGGAAAGACATCAGCTCCAAACTCCACTGAAAGGAAAACAATGACAAAGGAGTAAGCAGTTAGAACCAGAACACAGCACCATCTTTCAAATGGTAAAACTGATAAGGCTTTGGGTGACCGAGCCTCAGGGGTTCCTTTGCTTTCTTTGAAGGAATTATAGCTCACTGTCCCTATACTACCCCGGCAATGACATCAGTCCTGAACATCCTGGGCGACCCTGAGTGGCTCCATCTGAGATGCACAAGCACCACTTCACCGCCACACCCAGGTCCTTGACGCCCCACCCCCTTGCCACGCCAGCTGGCTGCAGGCTGGCCTTTGCACATCAGTTTCTGCTCTTCCGGGTGTGCATCTCATGACAGACCTGACAGCTTTCAATTTATTAGGCTTATTAGCAAATAAAACTGTCCCGAAAAGCGCAGATTTGATATCTGCAAGATTCATTTCAGGAATGATTTAATGGAACCTGCCTCGTAGTTTATTTCACATCTCTGGGTTGGAACTAAATCACCCTCGTCGTGTTGATGTCCTTAATGGGATGGTTGGTGTTTGTAAAATAAGGAAGCCGGAGAGTCTAGCTGCTTGCCATTTTTTTTTCTTTTAAACAGACATGATAAAAATACTTTACTTTATATATCTAGGAGATTCTGGGCTTTTTGTTTGGTTACTCTCAGTGATGTCATTAGAATGGAAATGGTGGGGAAGATATTTAAACCCGTGGCTCTTCTTAGCTGCTGATTTGTAGCAGCGGGAAATCACCCGCATACACTTGAGTCCCACTCTGCACAAAAGACTGGTGACATCTGGCATTCAATATGACAAACCTATAGAGGCCCCAGCCAGAACCAGTCCATCATTTAAGTCGTCTTGTTCTTAAACCCTGGGCTGCTATCATACTTCCTCAAGATGAAGACTTGAGCAGAGAAAACCTGTTATTACCAAACCAGCCAATGGCACTTACCAAGGGCTATTACTCTCTGTTAGCATTTATCACCCGCGTCTCATTTGACACTTATCATTTATTGCCTGACAGTTTTATTTATCTTTTATTTTATCCTCCCTGTTGGATTACCATCTGCTGAGAGCCTGGGCCTTACCGCTAGCCATTTCCCAGGCCTGCCTCTGCCGCTTCCTACCTGGGTGACAGGGGCTGTGTAAATTAACCCCTAACCTTCGTTTGTTCAGTTTCGAAACAGGGATAAAAACGGGACAATAGAAGAAAATGACAGAACATATGGGAAACCTTTTACACAGTGCTGAGCACACGGAAGGGGCTCCACCGACGGTAGCTATTGCTGATATGATGATGGTAGGGACACATCTGGCAGAATACACGCTCTTAGATCTTGGTTTCCGTCAGTGTATGTACCACGGTCCCTCGTGTACAAGTTTAAGATGCCTCTGAGATGTCTCAATTACAGAACATGTGTGAAATGTTCTATAAAACGCCACTTCCTTGCATTTTAAAGCAACGTATGGTCTTTCTGAAAGCGGAACTCTATACACGGACTCTGTGCATGTAATTAATATATATGCCTGAAAGTGAGTTGCGTCCGGTGAAGACATTTAAAGAGGCTTCTTTGATAGACAAACAGCGTCTGAGTTGTTGCATGCACTTCCTATGCTTGGGATTCCCAGCACCTTCCACTTCCCTCCATCTCTTTTGCACCGGTGCACGGTTGTCCAAGCCCTCCTTCAGAGAACATGCTCAAATCAGCCTAATGTGCAAAGGTGGAGATAAGAGTCTTCACCTCTCGGAGTATTATTTCTCATCTGTCCTTCACTCACCAGACAGCAGACTGAACTAGAATTCACGTCCAGGCGCACACACGTAGGCCTCCCTGTTACCCATCACAGTTCTGTGAGTCAGGAGCTCAGTGATGTGCCCAGGCCCAGCAGCAGCAACCGAAGCCCTGTCATTCCATCTTCACCTGCAGCTGGGTAGATCCGCTGTCCAGGGACAGGTTGCTGTGTCTCCCTTGGGTCCTCCTTAATGCTGTGTTTCAGGCCCTTTGCGTGCTTCCTCCCATTCCTGCGCTACCTACAGGCTCTAGTAGCTGGTTTTGAACTTGTCCCATGTCGCTGGCCTACTGAAGATCTGTGCGTACAGCATGTCTAAGTACCTCTACCTTCTAAATTAGAATACACCGTTTTCTTCAGTGATTGTTGCATTGTAAAATGCTTAAAGAAGGGAGATTAAAAAGTCACATCACAGTGTCTAAATACCCTAGAAGTGTCCAGATCAATCGCAGGCTTCAGAGGTTTATTAGAAAATATGATGTCATCTTGAGTACCAGCATGGTCATTCAGCCAGGAGATTGCCACTTCCTAGGGATCAGGTGATGTGCTATGTCCTTTATATTGTTTCTTACCTATGTCCTAGCTAAATGTCCTCTCCTTGCAAATACTAATGTCTGGTATTAGAACAGAAGATTCTGCATAGAAGAGAACTATTGATACTGTTGAGGTGCACCCATGCAATAGTTATATATAGTTTGGATGCCCTAGGGGACGCCAGGGTGCTTATTTGCCTAGGACAAACTGAACATCCCTAATCCTAAATGCTTGGAACAAGAAGTGTTATGAGTTTGGGATTTCTCCTCCGGGGATTTGTTTGTGTGTGTACCCTGTGAATGGGACCCCAGTCCAAGCCCTCAAATCATTTCTATTTGCTATATGCCCTTTTCACATAGACTGAAAGTAACCCTGCTCGACGTTCTGAGTTCACCTGCATTGTCTGTTACACCAAAATATACTCCTAGGAGTCTGCTAGGAAGTTGTTGTGATTTATCGTATGTTAATAAAAAAGAGTTCAGAGTGAGGAGGTGAGGGGGTGTATAATAAACACACAGGCCCCAGGTATGGATCATGTGGATGAAACCTTCTGGATGTTGAGCTGCCTCGAGCACTTGTATTCTAGAAATCAGAGAAAGGCAGAAGTTTTAGTGTCAATCCAAAGACCTGCTTTGCAAAGTAATAATAATGGTGATTATAGCTGCTATCGTTAGCTGCAATGCTGGAAGTCAGGGTACATGGAGAACTGGGTGGCTGCTGTGGGACAATGGTCTTTATCCTGTCACTTGTATTATTTTCAATTAAATGCTGATTGGCCAGTAGCCAGGCAGGAAGTAGAGGTGGGATAATGAGAAGAGGAGAATTCTGGGAAGAGGAAAGACTCAAGCCTGCAGGTCATCATCCAGACACAGAAGAAGCAAGATGTGACCACCTCACCAAAAGAGGTACCAAGCCACATGACTAAAACAGATAGGAATAATGAGTTAATGTAAGATGTAAGAATTAATTAATAAGAAGCCTGAGCTATTAGGCCAATCAGTTTGATAATTATTGTTGACTTCTGTGTGTTTTGTGGGGACTGGACAGCTGCGGGACCCAGTGTGACAGAAACCTCAGCCAACAGGTGACTCACCTAAGAACAGTTTGTTGGGGGAGTGGTCAGCCTGAAAGAGCCTCTTACCCATGTCTAGGAATTTCTTTGCCATCCCCAGGACACTGTTGGTGAATCCCAGACCCTCCCTTCAGCTCCACAGGTTGATGCCACCTAGATACAGCTTCCTCTCCTGCGGCGCGCATCCTAACCAGCAGGAATGAACGCCACTAAAAACGAGAATTCCTTCCCTGGTCACGTCTTTATTCGGAGCATTCCCTTGATTGAGGAAAATTGGGGGAAGGGAAGATAGAGCAGGGACAAGAGAAAGCTTAGAGAGAGCGGAAGCAGAGTCCAGAGGCAACTGCTTTTAAACGGTGGAGAGGCTTGAACGCTGTCCTGATTGGTTAATGCCATTCTGTTGGTCTGAGCATGTGCAAGCAAGGGTGCAGGCAAGGGTGCTCAGCCCCACGCGGCCAAGCCAGGTATACCTCCAAACTGCAGGACCACCTGTGCCTCCAGGTGGCTCCCAACACTCTCCCTCACCCAGACCTCAGTCTGATCCGCAGTTGATCTCTTCCCCCAACATGACCACTGCATCCTCATCTCCATCCCCATCTTCTTCTTCCCCTTTCCCCACTATATCTTCCCAAGCCAGACTGTTACACCTCTTCCTGGGCTTCTCGGGAACGTCTGTTCTCTCTCTCTCTCTCTCTCTCTCTCTCTCTCTCTCTCTCTCTCACACACACACACACA